TCGTTTGTGTCAATAATGGGTCCGCTTGTGGCCGACCAGGTCTCTGATCCGTCGGCGGAATCGCTGGTATTCTTGTGGTACATGTGATCACTCCATTCGTTATTGGAATCGCTTTTATCGTCTATTGCTTCGACATTTGCGGCAATATCTTCGACGATAGGCGTGTCGATCGGGGTTTCAATCAATTGCGGCCGTTTTCGTGGACTACTTCGGCGAGAGATACCCTCGTAAGTGATGATCGGTTTCTCCTTAAGGTTAGCCATTGTTTTGCTAATCGTTTCGCTGACGGTTACTGTATTCGAAGGCTTCGGCGCAGCGATCGACACATTGGCCGGCGCTTTGACCGACCCTTTGACCGACGCTTTGGCGGCCACTTTGGGAACAACTGTCTTATCGGGAACCGGAAGTTCAAGCGATAACTTTGGCGGCCGACCGACTCGACCAGTGATGCCGACACCCAATAGCGGTCCAATGTCTTTGACAGCGAGGGCCACATCTATTGGCTCAATAGTGGTCGTAATGGGAGGAACCGATACTTTCGGTACACTTTTGGGCAACACTTGCACTCCAGGGGTCGACATAGAGGTCGGCATAGGAGTACTTTTGGGCAACACTTGCACCCCAGGAGTGGACATAGGGGTCGGCATAGGAGTCGACGCGGGTGTGACGGGTGGGGCTGCGCTCGTGGGTCGAGTGCTGGACGATGGCTGCGGCGACAGCACATACTTCATGGGCGCCACCGATGGCGAGGGCTTTTGTACGACATTATGGCCGACGGCTGGACTGCGGGTATCGGCGGCGACGGTGTCGTCGGCGCCAACCAATCGGTGATCCAATTGTGAATCCACGGGAAACACGGCTTTGTATTGTTTCTCGAGATCCAACACCACATTCAATTGGATCAGTTGAGTGTCCGACTTGTTGTTGTTGGTGAATATGATTAACCACTTGCGGTACGCCTCCAACACATCCACACACGTCTGATAGTGAGACACTTTGGCCGCCAATAGTTGGTTATCGGCCCTCAACTCGTCCACCAATCGCTGGTCGCAACACACCCTCACACGCCCTCACACACCACTTCGAACCCACTTCAGAACTTTTATTTGCAAATTAACCACCTTGCTCATCTCTTTTTTGAGGGTACAGTTTCCACCCTTTTCATGTACAATGTACAGTAGAATACATTTAATGGCCCGGGAGCTAAAGGTTAAGAATAGTCTTGTTGACTAAAAATCATATGATTTTGATGGTTGTGATTGAGTCAACTAATATTGAATGAATGAGCAAATGGACACATGTGTGACATTTCACTGATTGACACGTCTTTAGGATTCTCTTATTTGTTCGTAAAGTTTGGATCAGAAATACGATTTCAAAACTATAAAACTTATTGGAAATGCATTATTTAGTAACAAATATCATGTCTTATCCCATAATTACTGCAATTGTAATCATTTTAATGACAATTAATTACTAAATTGTATTCCATTTACAAGTGTTTGACATTTGATAAACGCTTTTAGGAATTATTCAAAGTTTTGAAAAGTAGGCGAAGACAAGCGCTTCCTATCAATCATTTCGTATACAAAATGAAACACATTTTGACCGCAAATTCACAATCAGTTTGACATTTAAGTGGGCGGAGGAGGGGGTGGAGGGGCGGAGGGGTGGCGGGGGTGAGGGGTGACAGAGGGGTGGAGCGCATGCGTGACTCGTGTCTACACGTGTACTAATGTTGTGAAAAGCTGTGAATGACTTGTGATTGAGTCATGAATTGTCTTCTCGTTCACGAAGTGGTGCTCATAGTTGTCGTGCTTTCGCTGGAGAGCGCATGCGTGACTCGTGTCTACACGTGTACTAATGTTGTGAAAAGCTGTGAATGACTTGTGATTGAGTCATGAATTGTCTTCTCGTTCACGAAGTGGTGCTCATAGTTGTCGTGCTTTCGCTGGTCTTCGGTCTCGCGATTCCCGACAAAGACGACCACAAGAGCCGCAGCGCAGACCCGATGCATGACTCGAGCCATTACTCGGATGGCGTCCATAACGCAGAGTACGATCACAAGGCGTTTCTCGGCGAAGAGGCCGACGATTTCGACCAATTGTCACCTGAAGAGAGCAAATCACGTTTGGCTCAAATGGTGGACAAAATCGACAAAAACAATGACGGATTCATTACGACTGAAGAGCTTAAAGATTGGATTCATATCTCGCAGAAGAAGTATATCGTGGATGACGTCGACAGGCAGTGGAAGACACAGACGGCAGACGACGAGACGTCGACCACTATTTCGTGGGAAGATTACAAGAAACGGACGTTTGGTTTCTTGGATCAGTTGTCGGAGAACTCGGTTTCTGCGGACGAAACCAATACTTATCGAGAAATGCTTCGGTAATGAAAGCAATGCTTTTGTTTCCCAATTCTGACCGTTTGTTTGCAGTCGAGACGAGCGGCGCTGGAAACTGGCCGACAAGGACTCAGACAGCGCTCTAAACAAAGACGAATTCCTCGACTTTCTTCATCCCGAAGAAGCGCAACACATGAGAGACGTTGTCGTCGACGAGACGCTCGAAGACATCGATAAGAACAAAGACGGAAAGGTTTCGGTCGAAGAGTACATAAGTGAGTGGAGGAATGCGATCCCAAATAGAGAATAATGTCATTCATTGTTAGGCGATATGTATTCTCCGGACGCCACCGGAGATCAAGTACCCGATTGGGTGATCCGAGAGAAGGATCAGTTCAGAGAAATACGTGATAAAAATAAAGACGGGTTTATGGACAGAGAGGAGATCCGCGAATGGATTATTCCTCCGGATTACGACCACTCGGAAGCGGAGGCCAAACACTTGATACGAGAGGCGGACACTAATCAGGTTTGAAGTGAAAGAATGCTTTGAAGAGTTTTTATGACAATTGTTTCGTTCAAAGGATTCAAAGCTAACAAAAGCGGAAATATTGGAAAGTTATGACGTTTTTGTCGGCTCTCAGGCAACAGATTTCGGAGAAGCGCTTCTCAGACACGAAGAGTTTTGAAAATAACTTAATTTTAGACTTTGAATCCAATCCAAACTTCGGTCACAAAAAACTGTCGTTTTTGGAAACCATTTGCTGTTTTTCTATTTATTTACACAAAAATGCTATAATTAGTGATAATATACTGTAAATACCTTATAATTGCTTCTATTTTCTAGTATTGAAACCAAATCTCCAATAAATTAATTGAGATCTGATTTTTAGACACTTTTGAACCAAAATCCGAATTTCTAGTCAAAAGACTTTTGCTTTAAAAAAGTGCCAAAAAAAAAGAAATTCAGGTTTTCTTCTTCCGTCACATTTAATACATTTATTTTCCGACAAATAAATAAATAATTTCTTTTAAACATTGTTTTTTAGATTAAAGTATTTTCGCATTTAAACTGCAATTAAATTAAAAATTGAGTGAAAAATGCGGTTTTTATAAAAGAATAAATAATATATAATTAGAGACCGAATATTGTATTCAAATGTATATAAAAATTGTTTTTTACGGAAATTCATCCAAATTTAAATCACAAATTGACTTAAGCTTTGATTAAAGCGTTTCAAAAATACCATTACTTTAGGAGTGATTTAATTTCTGGCTTTTCCGCCGCTTCCAAGTAGTTCTTGCCGTCAGGCGTTTGGCCGCTCTTATGGGCGCCGCCGGCGATCATGAGCCGCACGCACTCCGTGTGTCCCTCCCATATAGCGGCCAATAGCGGTGTAATGCCGTGTTTGTCCACCACATTCAGCTCCACTCCCTTCCCGATCAGGTACTCTATGATGTCTTTGTGGCCGTAATCGGCCGCGTAATGAATGGCCGATCGGCCGTCGAGGGAGGCGTTGACGTCCACTTTCTGACAATCAAGCACTCAATCAATCCATACTTGGCTCACAATTGACTTACCTTTGATTCGAAGAGTTCTTTCACTGAATCCAAGTCTCCATTCTTGAGACTCCAAACCAAATCGGATGAACTCATTGTCGATGTCTTTGGAGATAATCTCAAATCAAAACCACTCTTCAGTCAAATGTCAGTCAAAACACTACTCAAGCCATAGATTACGTCCAATAATGACTCGTTTTGTGACAAAAAACACGGAAACAAAAGACATTGAATTAAATTGAGATCAAAACCAATCAAATGGACAATAATTTAGCGTTTATTTGAAGCAAACAATTATTTCAATGATTAGTAAAATATAAAAATATTTGGGAGAAAATAATTACAAACAAAATAAAACTGAATTAAGGATCAAATTGAACGACAAATGATTCTTCGCAGTGGACTTTGAATCCGTTGTGAACCGCAAGACTCGCCCTTTCGCTGAAATAGTTGATGAGATTGAGGTCTTCTTCGCTGATGGGATCGACGGTTAGGTTTCGACTGTTTATGGGATTCACTGAAACAACGAAACACACATTCAGACCGAGAGAGAGACGAAATGGGAGTTGTTTTGGGGACAGACCTTGAGTTTGCTGTGACGCCAAGTGTTTGGACTTAAGAAGCAGTGGTTTCTTAATGCCGGCCAATCTGTGGCCATAAGTCCTCTGTCTTTCATTCCAATCGCTTTGTTCGATGTTATTGTCGATCGACGAGACGTCTATCACTTTGGCCACCAATTTATGCAAAGTGTTGTTCAATTGGTTCTGTTCTGTGCGTCCATTCAGTGTCCCATAAGTGGGAGACATCACCGATGAGGGCGAACACAGGTATGACGAGTCGTTGCCGCCTAAGACACCGCAAACAACAAGTGGTCACACGTTGTCCGCAACGGATCCGCCGCAACGGCGAACACACATACCTTCTGGAGAAGCGATCGGATTGTCGAGAATATGTGTCCTTTCATTGATCTCGTCGTCCGACTTGTTTGGCAGACAACAAGAGGACACGTTTCCCATCGTTTCAAAACCAGTGCTTCAGATGTGACCAAAAATGCGATCAATTTATTGACAAAACATTTAATGTTTAAAAACAAAACAAAACCACAAAAACAGCACTAATTTTGTTTACAACCAAAACACACGTCATTTGTGTTCACTTTTGGGCGTTTCGGGGGTTAAGGAAGTGAAGGGAAGGGAAGGGTTGGGCAGCGAATGGGGGACTCGACTGGACTCGAGTGCATGTGTTGTGCGCATGCGTTGTGTCAGACATTGTTTGAGTCGATTATAGGAAACAATGAATGCTTTAATGGATTGATTTTATTCACACTTTGTTTCGGTAATTGTCTTCAAACTGATCCCAAGAAATGCTGTCAAACAACTCGACACAGAGTCGTGAGTATTAGCCACCGGTGTTTGGCCTCCGAAGGCGACCATTGATTGACAATGAATTGAATGCTCGTTCAGACGGACCGCAAACGGGAGATGTGTCCAAACAATCGCGATCTTTGACGGGAACGGTGACCAAACTGTTGGACAACTTCGGCTTCATTGGTAAGTATAGCCCATAGACCGCAACCACTGATGAAACTCACTGTCACTGTCTGTTCCGATGCGCTCTCCGAAGACGACTCCGTGTTCTTTCAGTTGAGGTAATGGTTTGGCTCTTAATTATCACTTTTTGTACTTTCGATGAATGAATGAATAAAACAGTAATAAAATATGAATTGTCATGAAATGTATTGATTGTATGGGAAATGACGATCAGTGCTGTGAAGGGCGGGGATGTGTTGGTCGGCGATAAGGTGTACTGTGAGTGCAGTTATTCGGATCACTTGCCCTTCAAGTGGAACGCGACGAAAGTCCATTTGGTGCACACCGGCGGTCGACCCAACCCCTCGGCGCCCAACCCCTCCAACGCGACTCCACAGGTGGCCACCACTTACCTCCAGCATCGGCTCCAACAGCAGCAACAGTCACGCGACGAGCCGTCCAACACTTCGCAGAACTACTACTCGAGTCAGTCGGTGTCCAACGCCGGCGCTTACGGCTCCGGACAGTCGTTTGATTTCGCCAAAACACAACAGGCGGTCGCAGCCGCGCAACAGTTGGCCAGTTATTACGGACAGCGCAACGACAGTAACGCCAACAACAGCTTCAGTCAATTGCAATACACGTCGACTCCAGGTTTGAGCGGACTTTTCAGTTGCCTTTCAGTTGACTCTTCATTTCAAATGAACGTTAGGTTCGGCTTTCGTTTCCTCTAC